CGCTGACCGAGCAGGACTTCCCCATGGACTCCCGTTTTTTCTTCGCCGTTCCACCGACCCGCAGGACGAGGTCATATTCGATTTTCGTGCGCTGGACTATTACCTCGCGTCGGTCTGTGGGATGGAAGACCCAAGTACCATCCTGCAGCGTAATCTCGATTATTGCGAGCAGCTGCCGTCGAACTGTTTGGACTGCCTTCCGCCGGACAGTGACTCGCAGGAGGATTTGCAGTGCTTCCTCGCCGATCTGAGCCTTGCGCAGGCATATTATTTCCGCACTGGACAACCCGACAGGATGCCCGAATGGCGCACCGAATGGCTCTCGACTGTCTTTGTACCCGAACACTCGCCGTACGACACGCAGCAGAAATGGGCGGACAGGCTCGTTACACCCATGTTGGTTGTAGCGTGGTTTCTATGAAGGTGCATGCTTTTAAAGCCATATAATATTATAATACATTGATTCTTTTCCACAGAGCACATCCCGTAGGCTTTGGTCTTGGCTTGCTGCAACCGATGGACTGCTGTACAAGCGGCCCCCTGCCTTCGCGACACGGACTCCTCGGACGGTGAGTGAGAGAGACTTCTAGATTTTAATAGTTTGTGTTTCTGATAATTGAATTGTTCCCTAGCAGGAAGGACGACGGCTGGCAGATACTCGTCGAACACATGCAGGGCGATAAAATGTTGGAGTGTGGCACTCAGCTATGACATCAGCGCACTCAGTCATTCAAGCATTCCAGTACTTGCACTTGTGTGTGTGAGTGGTTAAACACGCAGCACCCACTGCCGGTCCAGGCTCTGCTTCAAGCAGATACTCGGGGCGGCACAGCGCAGGACAGACAACGCCCTCTCCGCCGGACTCCATTCCCCGCTGTTCGGTTCCCGACACCCGCAATCGTGGATGGTCGAGATGCTGAACCGCGACTGGGAGGCCTACCCGGTGGCCGTCCCCGTTCCCTGGCAGGGCCACATGTACTACGCGGTGTCGTCGCACAACGCGTCGGACTTGTACTTCTGCATCACGAAGGGCCCCGACGGACGTGCAACAGCAGAACCAGTAAGATTTTTGTTGGTAAACCTTGTAGTATAACTGAAATACTTACCAAGTCGACAAATTTTCGGACATCGCTGGTTCAGGTGACACGATCGACTTTCAGTGCATCGGACTGTTTCTCAAGAAACTCGAACTTGGACCGGGCTCGTGGAACTAGCCGCAGTTCGTTCAAGCACGACGTACCCGCCGGCCAGTCTCCATTTGGAGTTCTGGAGCAGTTCGCTCTCGCCGGCCAGTCTCGAAAGTGACACGTTTTCTGCACTCGGAGTTCAGATCAGTTCGCTCTCGCCGTTCAAAAGAGTTGTCCTGGCACACTTTACATTTGCCGGATGTTAGTTCCTATCGCACTGTTTGCTGACTTAAACTTTTGCGCTTCAGGTTGCTGACATGGACTGGCACCTCTTTGGCGGGGTCCTCGGAGTTCTGGTGCTGCACAGTTTGTGACGATTTGCATCGGCACAGTTGCTGTGTTCTTTCCTGTCACACTCGGAAGCGACAAGTGCTTGAACCACCCGCAGTCACCAGTCACTCGTACTAGGTTTGTCATGTGCTTCATGCATTGCAATTGAGGTCGGTCACTCCTCGTTCGGTTCGCAGGGCACGGCCACACGGCAGGACGAGGACTAAGTCAGGGGTCATGCTTTCGGATTGTGACAAGGCATTCCGCGGACTCTGAGGTAAGTTAGGATCCACCTGCAGCAGACATGGAGCAATTGCCGTAGACATAAAGAGTTAAAGGCCTTTGAGCAATTGGAGTCCGGTTTGTTGCCTGGGTTGCCATTTCAGCATTTCAAGCATCGAGTGCATAGAATCGAGGGTGAGCGGTAAATTTTAGTGTTGGGCGTTACACATTAGATTTGTTGTTTGTGGCTGTGAATCATTAAGGTTAGTTCTGGCCTATTCATTGCGGGTGGTGTCTCCTTAACTAGATCTACTTACAGTGCATGGTATAAACCGATTTCACTTCTGGAAGTTCACCATACTTGTCCACAGAGGGGCTTCGGGTGTGGCTTGATTCAGGAAAATAATCATGAGGTGTACAACTCAGTACTACGACTACTACCACGACTAGTACAAGTACTACTAGCATTGGTACTGTACTACTACTACTACTACTACTACTACTACTACTACTACTACTACTACTACTACTACTACTACTACTACTACTACTACTACTACTACTACTACTACTACTACTACTACTACTACTACTACTACTACTACTACTACTACTACTACTACTACTACTACTACTACTACTACTACTACTACTACTACTACTACTACTACTACTACTACTACTACTACTACTAGTACTAGTAGTACTACTACTAGTACTACTACTACTACTACTAGCTAGCCAGCTAGCTAGCTAGCTAGCTAGCTAGTACTACTATTACTTCTGCTAGCACTACTACGACTACTACTGCTACTTCTAGTACTACTACTACTACTACTAGCTAACCAGTACTACTGCTACTACTACTACTACTATTTCGACTAGTACTACTACTACTACTACTACGACTAGTACTAGTACTAGTACTACTACTACGACTACTACTACTACTACTACTACTACTACTACTACTACTACTACTACTACTACTAGTACACTACTACTACTACTAGTACTACTAGTACTACTACTACTACTAATACTTCTACTTCAACTAATAGGGACTGCAATTTCGGCCTACTGGTTTTTCCTTTCTTTAATGAGTAGTGGTACTGCTGCTAGTACTACTCTTCGCAATCTGGATTAGTATTGCTACGAGTAATTACTAGACCAGTAGTCAACCAGCTGGAGGAAGGCGCTCTTGCAATCGCTGTTGTCCTGTTCATATGGAGGACACGGACTCCATTGGCCGGCATCGCTGCCGCTGAGCCTTCTCGTTTCAGGCACTGTGCTCTCGTGCGGTCTACGCTTTGTGTCTTGCTTGCCATGTTCGTCCAGTCACAATGCACTGTGAGACCACCCAGCAGCAGGGCTTGATTGATTGTTTGGTTTTCCGAAGCCGTCCTGCCTGTGCGTTGAGACTTCGTGCAGTCTTATCATCCTTCCCCCGTCGTTCTTCCTCGACGGACCTTGCCCAGCATGCCTCGTGATGCCGGCCCCCGCAAGCCCACCCTCAAGCAGCTGGCGAAGCAGAAAGCGAAGGACATCAAGACCCGGGAGCGCAACGAGGCGACGTTCGCATCCGCCGTTCAGCACTCCAAAAGCACCATACTCGACGTGGACATGCGGTTCATTCAAGACACGCTGACCCAGAACCCGACTTGGATTTCTCCACTCGCTGGTCTGATCCGCTCGGGCTCGTTGAATGGTCTTCTGAAGGACGTTGCCAAGAAGGAGGAGACCGGTGGACTGAGATGGAAGGGCAAGTGCACCAAATGGGGCAGTTTGCCGCTTGAGATGGCGAGCTTAATGCTCAAGCATTGCGGTGTGGAGCTCGCGGAGGACGTACAGAAGGACGAACCCGTCGTACGGACCCTCTTCGAGATCCAGTTCTGGGCAGCCAAGTCGGCGTCCTTGCCATCTCGTGCGGACATTCGCTATCAGTCCACGTTGGTCAAGTTAGCGAGGGCCCGCATGGAGGACGTTGGTCGCAACTACATAGCTGCGGTGAACTCGGCGGAGGCTATCAGTGTTGACCGGGACAGGTACAACATCTGGTCACTTGAGAACAACACGTTGTACTGCCACGTCTTTGCCACACAAGATGGACACCCTCGCCGTTCCCGCTCGGAGTTCGTACCCAACGAGTCGTACCTCAGCCACGAGCTTCCTACTCTCCCGGACAACAAGACGTGGCAATTGGACGACCCTTTTGCGGTGGACTGTGTCATTTCAGATGGACAGCATAACTCGTTGTTCAGTTTTGAATGCGCGAGTTTCTTTCCTACTTTGCCGGACATGAAGGCCAAGTGGACCTTCGACTTGTCGTCGGACGCAGACACCACGGCTGGCCTCGGCGACAATGTGCCGCAGGGCACCCCGTCGGTCCGGAGTGCATAATGCACTCTCTCCTGGTAGTTCAGTGTGTCTTGAGTTTGGGGTTGACTTTACTCGTTGTTCTGTCCAGTTTGTTCACTCGAAAAGCACAATGTCGTTCGCCTCGCCGTTCGACCCATTGTGTCTGAGTGAGTGGACAGGCACGAGTTTCACTGGGGCCGTGAAGCCGGCAACTTGCAAGCTGCATAAAAGAATACGTGCGATGAATGGCTGACTGCAATAATGACTTCCTTGCGGTGCCTTGCAGTATGTGCTACATACATGTTGCAGAAGAACACAGACCCATGACACGTGGTGTGAGCACTGCCTTGCGACATCAGCGATTCGTTGCCGCTGTCTTTGGGCTTCCAGAATAAAAGCTGCATGCCTGCAGAGCCTCCCTTTCTCTTGGTTTGGCAGATGTCACATATACTTCCTGGGACATAGCCTATAAAGTTTTGCTACATTCGTTCACCAGAAACAGACTGTAGAATTGATCCACTCGCTATCAGATGCTGGAGCCCGCTTCTGCCGATGGACCCTCTTCTTCAGGACCTCCAGCTTTTTTCAGCTCTGCGTCGGACAAGCGTCGGACAGTTGCATTTTGCATTCCCTGCGGGACACACGGAAGCCTCAAGGGCGAGAGCTACAAGTTCAAAGAGCCGCAGACCAAGGTAACGGATGGACATCGTTTTTGGCACATGCGTTGGTTTGTGGACTTCCTCGGAGGACACGAGTCTCGAAATTTCCTCGCAGGCAGTGTGTCGACGTTCAGGAACAAGCTCTTCACGATTGCATGGCCCTGCTGGACAGACACGGAGGACGCTCTGAAAAAAGAGATCGAGTCGCACTTTCTCCAGAGTTCGTTCTCCCTCCTCAAGCAGCAGGAGCACGCTGCAAACGCCGAGAAGAAGGGCACCAAACGAAAGGCATCCTCGCAGCAGATGCAGGACGACATGGAGGACGACAACGAGCAAGCGGACAATGAGGAGCACACGGGTGACCAGATGGAAGAGGTAGCAGCTGGACGAAGCACACGTTGTACAGAGTTTGCCACGTCGAGCTTTGCAACGATTGTTCTTTTGCATCAATGGCACCAGGGTATGCGCAAAGATGCCAAATGGAAGAAGCCGGCAGAGGAGGTATCCAAGCTGGCCGGGGAGTTGCTTCAAGGCCTCGCTTCCTTGTTCCTGCAGACCCCGCAGGACTTCTCATTCACGTGGGACGGAAACACTCTGGTGCTGCCGTTCAAAGGAGGTTCGCTGGACGTGGACGAGGTTGTACTGCAAAACAGTTTACTTGCTAAAGTACTACACCGCGATCGTTCCCGATTCATGGACGTGCTGCAGGATGTGAATGTGGACTGCACCCGTCGGACAATTGGAGACACTCGCAAGTCATCTAGTTTGAGGACGAAGTACTACTTGTTGGCGGCTTTGGCACGTGCCATGGATTCGTCGGACGACACGCATTCCTGCTGGACATCTTTGAATGTGAAGCAAGTGATGCAGCTTAGGAGAGAGGTTTCGATTCGAGGGTTTGGAGGGTTTGAAGGGTTTGGAGGGTTCCGGGGTTTTAAGATGTAGGGTTGTGTCTTGAAAGCCCGAAAATTGATATTCCCCCTGTTGTTTCAGGAGCACCTCCGGATATCGTCGGTCGTCCACGAGTTTTCGACAAGAGGTTGCGAGTTCATCGAATGCCACACGCAGGACACTTACCTCCACATTGCAAGGACATGCGTTCACCGTGCAGGACAGCAGCGAACAGCAGGACGAACAAAAGATCAAGAAGCACGCTTCTATGGACGCACACAGGCTAGCACGCATGGAGCGATACGCCTATGTCACGCAGGGCAAGTCAGATTTCCTCTCGACGGACATTTTGTGCGTGGTGGCAGATGCAGTGCACGTGGGAAGTGACGATTGGCTGAACATCATGGTGTACAACCACACGACGGACAAAGTTTGGGTCTGCCCGCCGCAGGCGCTTTTTTTTTTTGTTAAGCAACACATATTTCTGAGGCGTTTTAGGCAAGAGGCGAGGTACGTCAGAGCCTTGCTTAAGTTGACCTTTTTGGGTGCCGTTTTCGTAGCTTCTGGGTCCGACCAAAATCGTTTTTCCGAGGGGAGGTACACGTATCCCCGCTCAGGCTCGGTTTGGGGCGGAGTCTTTCTATTGTATTTTATATAAAGATAGGTACACGTATCCCCGCTGACCCCTGGGTTTCGGGATTGGCCTGATAAAGGCTCCCGGCCGCCCTTCTACTGATGAGTAGGTACGCACAGCCTTGCTTAAGTTGACCGGGTCCCGGGTGGAGGCCGAGGAACGCATTTCGGCCACATTTTGGCTGCATTTCGGCCCCCAAAAAGGTACGCCAGATCCCCGCTTAAGTTGACCGGCCGGTCCCCCAAAAAAGGGCCCCTGGGTGATTATATGGTAACAACCTCTGTCGTTTGTTTTGCATGCTGTTGCTGACAAGCTCTTCCTCTAAGCTTTGCTTCACATTTTTCTCTGTGTAGTCAGACCACGCAGCAGGTCCAGAAATCGTCCGTCTTGTCGGCTGAGCAGTGGAAAGCTATGTGGAACAAGGCTTCCAAGAAGTTCCTCGGGATCGAGAAACCCGTTGGACCTGGTCATGCGGAGGACCGGCTGGCCACACTGTCTTGGATGCAGGACATAAACCACGGCTTGCGACCCATTGGCTGGACTTTTGGCTGCTGCCAGAGCACGCCGGCCGGCCCCGCGGAGGACGACACGAAGGCTAAACGTGCACCGATCATGATTTTGTGCACCGACCAAGAAGCAACACAGCTGGCGGCTGTCTCCTTCTTGAGGAACAAAAAGAGCCTCTGGATCGAACACGTCTCGGACCCCGCCCACAGGTCGCACAACGACGTGGCTTTGGCCTTGTCGGCCGCTGGACTCCTGAAGTTCTGCACATGGTGCATCTCGCTGTACAACATCAGGTATGGACCCTGGCAGAAGGGCTCGTGGGCGTTGAAGATCCAGCAAGCCGCAAATCGCATGAAGGACAACATGGACCCCTCGGACCCGATATTGCTCCTTTTCTTCCCGGACATTCTGCTGGACGCCGGCCTCTCCCCCCTGGACGACAACACGGAGGAGAAACGCAGGTCGTTTTTGCAGACATTACCCGACATGGACTGCATCCGCATCAAGGGCACGAAGGCCAGCAAGAGTCGGTTCAATTCCCTGACGACGGCCCACAGCGCGCTGGACAAAGAGTGGTCGGTCTTGGCTTTAGTTCTCACGGTGGTCTGCTTGGAGCACAACTGGGCAGTTTCCACTAAGGACCTCTTCTCGCAGGACAGCAACCAGGCCCGTGCCTCGGTTCCATATGGTGGAAGCAAGTCTTCTGCCATACAGGAGGCCAAGCAAGGCATGGACCAGGAGCGGAAGGGCAGCGCGAACAGTCTACACTTAATGACGAAGTTCGTGATCTCGCAGGACAACAAGACGACAGCCAGGATGATGTTCCAGGTCTTGCAACCCGAAGAGCTTCGTTGTTCGCTCATGCTCAAGCAGCTGCGTTCCAAAGGCATGACGAAGGACTACTACTCTGGCTGGGCACACTGGTCTTGGATGAGCACTGCAAAGGACCACGTCAGGACTTTGTCGAATTTGGAAGGTTTATCTCGTGTCGGCCTCGACCTGACACTGGCACGCGCACAACCCCCGGAGGAGACAGAGCTTGTCTGGCAGGACTCGCTCGCAGGCCAAATGACGCAGTTGACACTACAGATCCTGCGGCTGCGGGCCGGGGCACAGCTGTACCATACTGGAGGTTTCGGTGCGACCGCAGGACTAGTCCATGCTGAAGAGCAGTTCCGTCGGGCAAGCTTGGATTTTTTCAAAGAGATGCAGTCTTGTATCCAGGACACGCACAGTGGTGGTTCTCGTATGGCAAAAAAATTGCTCGAAGGTCATTTCTCCCAAGGGCCGATTAGTCGGTACATCCTCGCCGATCTTTGCACTACCCGGTTTCAGAGCCTTACGGAGGACGTTGCACACGTATTGACCAGCATTTGGTCGGGCCTCTTGAACACGAAGATCATCGAAGACTGTAATAAAGTCCAGCGCGAGGCCGAGCAACGACATTCGTCTTCGAAGGACTTGGGTCGTTTGGACGGATGGAAGGCTGTGACCCAACAGGCCGTGGTCAAGATGTACGAGAGGGTGGAGGCACTGTCAACGGAGCTCTACCACACGCCGGCAGCGTTTGACGTGGCCAAACTTTTCTGCAAAGACACCGAGAAGAAGAAGATTCAAGCAGTTCGTCGTCGTTCCGATTCGTCGGTCAGCACGCAGGTCAGTGCCTCGGAGGTGCAGGAAGCACAGCTTCTTGCAGACGTGACGAAGACGAGGGACTGGGTCTCCCACAACCACGCCGAGGAACAGGAGGTTTTGGCTGCCTTCAGTTTACTGATGAAGGCGTGGAGGGCCAAGCGATGGTCGCTTTGTGAAGAAGGTTGGTGCTCTGGACTTTTGCCCGAAGGACATGTTGTACTGGCAGGTGCAGACCCGTTGTTCATCGTTCGGACATACCGTTTGGCTGCACTCGCATGGCCCGGCAAGATCGTTAAGGACAAGGACCATGAGTTTTTCGAATTCAACATGGGCGTTCGGTCTCTCTTTTGGATGCACAGCACATCTTTGGACTTGGAAGTGTTGCGGCTGCGAGTTGTTTCACCTCTGCGTGCCTCGGCTGCAGTACAGTTGAACATTGTCAGCCCGACACGGACATTCTCTACATATATATTCGTCCTATAATGAGTGACGATGATTGATTGACACGGAAGGCTTCTCCGGTTCAGATTGTAAGTTTCGGCCCGGGGGGGGGGTAGCACTGAAGCTATTTTTTATGGGTTTCTGAACAACTCAGGCGATTCGACAGTCAAGGATTCGAAGTTTCACAGAGTTAGGTTGAGTAGCCCAGGATGGCACGTGCGTCGAGGTTTTGGGTATTGACGAAAGGAGGGTGTGGTTGTGTGTACTGCTACCACTTTTTTGGCCATACTACTAGTGCTAGTACTAGTGCTAGCAGTAGTATTAGTAGTAGTAGTAGTAGTAGTAGTACTAGTAGTACTAGTACTAGTAGTAGTAATACTACTACTACTAGGACTGTTGCTGAGATTCCTTCTACTACTGTAAACTACTGCGATTGCTTGTAGTAGTAGTACTACTACTACAAGTACTACTAGTAGTAGTAGTAGTAGTAGTACTACTACTACTACTACTACTACTACTACTAGTACCAGTACTACTACTCCTACTACTAGTATTACTACAACTTCTTCTACTACTACTACAACTACTACTGCTACTACTGCAACTACTAGTAGTAGTAGTACTACTACTAGTAGTAGTACTACTACTACTACTAGTACTACTAGTACTATCACTACTACTACTACTACTACTGCTACTACTACTACTACCACTACTACTACTACTACTACTACTACTACTACTACTACTACTACTACTACTACTACTACTACTACTACTACTACTACCCTTTTCGAGTCTTTTTACCAGTCTTCCTAGTGATATCACCGCTTTTTACTGACCAGGCGCAAAACTTAACGATTGCGATCATTTTTTACTAAGAGTGTTGCTGCCGCTACTGCTACTGCTGAGGTCGTTCCACGCAGGGCAGCCACCTCAACAACGGCATCGTGTTTTTGGTGGACAAGAAGATGGGCACGTTGGACTTTCACGCCGAGCAGGGCTTCGCTGCCTGTTCTGAGGCTTTGTTGCGCAGGTTGTGCCAGCACATGGGTTGGACCGCCACCCAACCCAAATCAGGTGTGGACGCAGGACATCAGCTGGCTGTTGCCGCCATGCTCAACATGGACAACTCGTTGGTCGAAGAGGACGTGGTTCAACGAATCCTGGCAAGGCATCAGACTGACAAGTGGATGCCGGAGGTCGACGACAAGGACTTGGAAGCCGTCGTTCGGGACACGCTGCTCATTGGCGAGCAGGACAAGGCCCTCAAGGAGCTCAGTGCCCGTCGGTCCACGGTTTCGGCCAAAAGTCTACGACCCAAGGTATGCACGATGTACAAGAACGCCGTCTCGGACCTGGACAAGGACTTTTGGAAGGCCGGACAGGACACACGCCGACGCAAGACTCAGAAGGCCGAGAAGGACAGCAAAAAGCTAAAGCAGCAGTACGACCGGGTGTACGCAAAGCTGAATGCCACGACGGACGAGCTTGTGAAGAGCATGGTTCCTGATACTGTACAGGTTTGGACGGACCCAAAGAATGGTCGTTGGAAGGTGTCGTACAAGACAGCTGTAGTCAGCATTACACGTAGTATTTCATGGACACAAGTAGGTGAAGCTGCCGCCGGTCGAGCCTGTGTAACACAAGGTTGGTCATGGGTGGAGCACCACGAAGGACGTGACCCACCCGAAAACTTGCAGGAGCGATTGACAAGGTTCGACTCCTGAGTTCACTCGGACTTGACATGCCCGTGATTGGACTTTTTCTCCTCGTAGCACATCGTCGTTCAGCATCGATGCACACATTCGTCGGGCCCAAAAGAGGATTATTCCGCTTTGCACGCGTGTTTGATCCGTGCAATTGATGCTTCTAGTCAGACTTCTGTAATGCACTGCTACGTGTGTGAGACAGTGGCGGTGATGTGGGTTCAAGTTCAGGAGCATGTCGTCCATGCATTGAGCACGTATTTTAAGTAGGCCAGACATGTACTGATATGGCGAGCCAACGCGCCCTCACTCACCTTCTGTGTAACTTTCCCCACGGACACACAAGATAATGAGTAGTCATGTAGCGCAACTGGAAATTGTACCAGAAATGTTTGTACTTGAAACCTAGGTTGTTATTCTCGGTGGGAGTCCATGAGAATTCAGTTTTGTTGAAATAAATGGAACGGAAAGAGTCTCTGTACATGTCTCGACTCGTGGTTCCATCCTCGAAGTATTACTCGTGCCATGGTGGCCCGGCCGAAGTTACAGGAGGTGGGACTGTCACGACGACCCTCGGCATACGCGCTGTTCATGCAGGACATGTGCAAGGACTCTGTGGACCCCAAATCTCGTCGTCGACTGTCCCGGAAAACATCACTTCGCGGTTCAAAACATTATCTGCGCAAGTGGCTTCTTGGCTGCAAAATCAATATAGATACTGACACATGTGCCCCTTGCCTAGAACCCCAAGTCATCTGAAGCCACGGGAAGTAAAATCTTGGCAATTCTGGTCAGGAACCCGAATATGCCATCTTAGCTACGTACCAAAGTTATTTACTTCAGACATAATTAATAAGATGTAGCTAAAAGTCCTAATACAAGTCATGTTACTTTTTACTCGGGGATTACCTTTTCACCCAATCGTCCAGTAAAATTCCTCTGTTCCCCGAGGCACAACCGAAAGGACCTCCGTGACGAGTACACACGCAAGGCCAGGCAGGGCTACCAGGAGAATCGGGTCCAACGCGAAGAATTTCGACAGGCCAAACACACGGAAGTTCCCCCCGCTTCGTTCATGGACAGAGAACTGCCGGACGTCGCAGAGTCGCAGGACTTCGACGGTCGTGGCATTTTTCGCTACACGGCCGAGGACCCACTGGTGCAGGAGAAACATATGGGTCGCGGCACGTACGGGGAGATTTTCGCTTGCACGTACCAGGGCCTGAAGTTAGCCTTGAAAGTGGCCGTTCGCACGCCGGACAGGGAGACTGCACTGTTGGACGTGCACCAAGACGGTCTCGAAAAGACGTGGGACTTGACCCGTGAGTTCACTCTTTTGAGCCAGATAGGACCTCATCCGAATGTTCTGCGACTCTATGCCTTGCTGACATCCTCGACTGGGCACACGGGAATTCTAATGGAGCGGGCTTCCTGCGACCTCTTGAAGGCCACACGGGACTTGAAGACGGACGACCTTCAGGACGGAGTTCCCTGGAGCACACGACGAGCCCAAGTAACGACGTACTTTCGGCAGACACTCGCAGCTCTTACATTTGTGCACAGCAAAAACATCGTACATTTGGACGTGAAAACGAACAACTTCCTCGTGTTTCTCCTCGGCGAGCGGGTGGTGCTGTCCGACTTTGGTTTTTGCCGAGCTTTGCCACTCAATGGAAAAGCAAAAGTCAGAGCTGACGAAGTCTACACGACGTACTACCGGCCGATCGAGTGCCTTTACTCCGGGGACGGCAAGGCCTGGACCATGAATCCTAGTCGAAGAAAGTTGAAAGTAGTAAGCCCGGTGCGTATGTTCATTCTAGTAACACTTTATGATTTTGCGGATCTGAACTGCAGGACCAGATCAACCTCAGGCATTCCCGGATCCAACTGATGTCATTACTACTAGCAAACTCGCAATGGCCATTGTAATTGAAAACTTGACACAAAGATCTGATTCTTGATTCATAGAAGAGTCATGTCAGCACATGCAGTCGTAGACTCAGCTTCTTAGTCAAAGACATAGCCTGAAAAACTTCATATCTTGCTAGTAACAGCCATGTCTTTAAGAATTGACTTGTTTTTTGGCAGGAAGTATGACTATGTGTTTCATTTTGTTGTCGTTTCCCTTAACTGCTCAGCAGCTTCACTTTGATGAAAGAGGTGGAGATCGGCCCGAAGGCGGACATGTGGGCACTCGGTGTGGTGACGTGGGATTGCTACGCGAAGACGACACGCTCGCTGTTCACTCCCGACCCGAAGGGCTTCGTCAAGCACACGCCGACCATCTCACAAGCGCTCGTTCGTTTCCAGACTGCATGGCGCGAGAGAGCACGCGACCTGCACTTGCTGGACGACGACATCGCTGCACACGTTTTCGGTTCATGCTTCACATTGGAGCAGGACAGGCGCAGCTCACTCGATTTGTTGAAGGATTTGCAGGGCCGTTTCACGAGGACAATTCAGTCGCTGGACGAAGAAGAGGAGCCGTAGCAAGTCCCCGGTGTACGTAATGCTATAACTTTCCAACGTGTCTTTCGCAAAGTATGATTTTATGTCAGACAAGAGATGACGAATGTTGTCGCCGGTGGACTCGCCCGTGCAAGTTTTGCATGACACACGTTGTTCGATGACCCGATGTTTCGAATCATTGAATCAGTTCATTGAATCTCGTAAGAGAATTAACTTAAGAAGATTGCAGAAAACCAGAATAATGTATTAGACTTTGTGGTTGGGTTCTTTTTGTTCAGTTCCCCGCTGTCACACGATTGACGACCGACTTGTGCATGTCAAGGACGGCCCTTCGGCAAGGATAAAAAGGGCCGCTCATTCTGCCATTTGGAATCTGTAGGTTCTACAGAACATGTACATGCAGAGGCGTGTCTGAAGTCCTAAGGATAATACACCGCTGTTCCCCCACACTCCTTGGCTAGATGCTTTCCATTTCCATGTTGCAGGCCCTGGGGCAGAGGCCACACCCTTCTCACTCTGGCAGCGACACACGGAGCACTTCAAGGACGGTTTCGGCCGCACAGTTCAGTGCAGTCTTGGATGGAATGTTCAGATGTCCTATGTTTTGAAATGCTGCTTACACTATGATGTTAGTTCGTTCTTGTTGAATGTGGTTTTAGTTTTCGGTTGGACTAGTCGCAGAGAGGCTCCCAATGGATTTCTTTTACTGTCGATTTGGAAAGCTTTGTTTTTCAATGTTTCTTGCTGCTGCTGGAAGAATGGGGTCAACCTTTCCGACCTGGTTTCATGATGGTCTCCAGAGAGCCAAGTCAGTCTTCTGGCTCCAGAACATCATCTGAACAGTGCAATGCAGGGGCAGCTATA